TATCCGAGCGATTTGGATTATCCGGATAATCGGATACGGATAAACGGATGACGGATTTATCCGGATTGGAACTCTAGGCCATTTTATGTTAAAATTTTAAATTTGGCCGTATCATATATAAATTAAAATTTAATTTGTTGAGACTAGGTTGTAGTATAATTTTATTTCAAAACATGTCAGGTCAGGTAGTTGATATCAACTTCAGAAAATATCGCCTCAAACGAAAGAAAGACACTTTTTTCGCGAAAACGGATGCCCGACTATGGTCATTTCAAAATTTCTATTCTTTTATTATTTACTCTGCAGACGCGCCAAAAATGTTTAAGGAAATTCTTATGACATGGACTACCGACTTGAAAACTATTCAAAAAGCAAGAAATATTCCAAAGTTAATTACCAACTTTGCGAGAGACCTAATTGAGTTCAATGGTACTGGAGAGTTTGAAAAAATACGGCGCGCTTGCGAACAGAATTTCCAGGCCCACTTACTTGCAACCCTTTCAAGTGGGTCAGTGACGAAAAGCGAAATGGCACAAGGTTACATGAAACAAGCGAATGAAATCTTGACCGGTACAGCAGGAGAAAGGGTTGAGGAGGAAGACGACTTAAATGTTCAAAACTTTGATGCAACACCAGTATGGTCAACTTTAAGTGCTAGTATGATCAATAAGTCAATAATCAATTAATCATCATGCTTTTCATTTTTCTTTGGAAGGACGTTTATCAAGTGTACAGCGATGACGAATGTACAGAAGAAAATCAATCATGCAAAAATAATCTTAAAAGGAAACTAGAAGATGACGAATTACCAGGTTACGATGGATTAGTATTTTTATTTAATGATTCGAATGAAGATAAAATTATAGAAAACATTGATGAAAACACCCTTGAAGAGGAAAGAAAATTACCACTAGCGAGTGATAACAAAGTAAGATCTTAATGTTTTTGTTTGTGAGCTTACAGTATATTTAATAAGCACATTATCGTTATCTATTCACAATAGGATTCATCTAAATTTATATTTGATGAAATGTTGAATGCATTCCAAACATATCAAAATAAGATTCCTAAAACCCGCAGAGTATACACGTATGTATGGCATCCTTTTTACGACTATGGTCTGATTATTAACCCATTTATTTATCTTATTATTTCACAGCCCTGCGTATTGGGGGGTGCTCGATCTGACCAGAGAAAGTCTATACGGGTGCAAAGAAATTACAGAAAACGACTTACAGCAATTATCCCAAGACTTCGCTGATCATATAAAATGGAAATGCGAACTGGTCTCAAAAGATATTCAGGATTACTTCGATAGCAGTTGCGAAAAACTTGGCAATAGCGATGAGAATAAAGATCTAAAACATTTTGATTCAAATGTTCAATTTTTGTATGTATTAATTGTCGCGGCTGAAGCTGGAAATTAGGGACCTCGATTTAAAAATATAAACTCTACCAAAATCCGCTTATACATTTTATTATCAAAACTAACCCTAAATCTTAAGCTAACTATGAAAAAAGCTAAAAAAATGCTCCTCAAAAATTTTTAAAATTTCATATTAAAATATTTAAAATTTCCAGCTTCAGCTTCAGACGCGACATTAATTGTGAATTATGTACTTAATTATCTTGCATCGCGTTCTGACTTTGTATTACATTATAGGAAAAATAATATGCATTTTTTTCAAGAAATGTTGACGGAAGAACACTTGAAATGACATCATCATATCCATCCCTGACTGCTAGTGGTGGTTTCGGCTGCTGCAGAAGGTATTCGTAGCCTAATCTGAAAGTGCGTGAGATATAGAAAGATTAGGGAGATATGTACTACACCCTCCCTAGAGCAACCCAATAGTATAAGAACCCTACTAGGTTATCTATAGAATTAGGGTACAAGTAGTATAGCAGATGTCGATCTGGGTGGTCTTCAGTTTAGATCATAGAATAGTTAAAACATTACGAAAAAATCAGTAAAAACAAAACAGTCAGAAAACACTTCTACTATGGTTGTGAAGCAGCACAAGGTTATGGGGTGGCGTGATTGTGGTGGGTGGTACAGGACAGGGTAACCAAGAATGTACTACAGTCAGGGATATACCAAATTAGGAACTGGGTTCTAGAACAATCCACGTGACATTATTACAATTTGATTGGCACACACTTACTTTTTTTTTTACTGTTCAATGTGAATTTTTATAGTATTAGCTTAATAATAAGAAGTTTTCGAACGCATAATATTCAACCTCTAGTTTTGATAATCAAAGTTAATCAGTCAAGTTTTGCCCTATTAGCCAAAGTAAATGAGACCTCCTTTTATGGTTTCATGTATAGTTAATTACATATGTAAGAACATAATTTCACTAACTAAAATGCTTACTTTTTTTTTTTTTGTAATGTCTACTTACCAAAGACCTAAAGCAGAAGATCTCAAGTGCATTTTTGCAGATCTTGTTGACTATTACAAACCACTTCGTTTAAAGCCTTGCAAAACCAGTGAATTGCAAACATGGTGGCATGCTAACAGTGCGAATATAGCTAAGAACCTTTTAAAATATTATGTTTATATCCCTAAACTTGTTGAACGTCATTTTTCTTTAACAACTTATTCAATTTGTCAGATACATTACAATCAAGTAATTAATTCTAATCAGTTTTATCAGTATATTGTAGGTTCTATTCAAGAAAATAAAAGATC